TATATAAGAAGACTTACACTTCAAAATTTAACCCATATCATATAATATCCATATAGTCAAAGCCTGATTAACCTATTTGATTCAATCATACCATACTTAACTGAACTAAAAAGATCTTCATAACGTGTTTTCAATGATGACCCATTCTACAGTTTTTCATTGCAAACTCTCGTGCACCTTGTTCCCTTTGAGGAGCTGTAAAACCTGCATGCATATACACCATTGTATTGTATTTCTCAAATGGGTAAAATTATAAAACTAGAAAGATTCTTAAATGAGCAAACAAAGGAAACATGCCTGGTTTATATCAGACCTTTGAATGGATGATTGCTGTGTACATAAAGATGCAGCCAACACCATTTGATGCAATTCTTGTTTATTGCAATTCTCAGCAATTGTTCTTCCTCAACAATGGTTTCGCCTGTTGAAGGAAATCAAACAACTAAATGCAAGAAATACCAATGTACTTTTAATCCTTTCCTTATTAAGAAATTCTATTATTATGTCAATTTTTCAAAGTAGAAAGTTGTAATAGGAACAAATCAATGTTGCATACCCATAAAACAAGACTTTGTGCGAGTAATCTAGAGCTCTATCCCGAAAACATCAATCATTTCATTGACAACCTCGTGAATCAAATACTCTTGAGCTAAATGTCTATAAAAAATATGATAAAATTTAAGCCATTTATGATTATGAGTAACAAAACTAGTATTATGCACGTATTGGAGTTTTAAAAACAATAATAAAAGCATACAAACATGAAAGTTCCTTCAAATCTTGAAAATGTGTGGCGAGTCCAGTGCTCCGGAAGCAAGCCTAAAATCACAAATCTGAGTTGAAAATGGTTTACCTTAAAAAGTTGCATATTTTTCTACTTTAAACTTATATTTTGTGATTTTCTTCCAACAATTCCATACGATTATATAAGTATTATATGATCCATTAAAATCATAATCATTCAAAACTAATAACTAATTTCAAGAAACTAAATTAGGGCTTACTTGAGGTTCAAAGTCTTGTGTAAGCAATATATTTGCAGCCTTGATGTCTCTATGAATGATTCTCCTTTAACATACTTCATGAAGGTAAAGCAAGCCTTCTGTTGTTCCTAAAGCAACCTTGTACCTAATACCCCAATCTAATTTCTCCTTCAAAGCTGTAACAAAAAATGTAAAATTCAAGAACTTTTTAAACCTTTCGATTCAAGAAAACAATAAGATTACTGACAGGGCTAAATGCAACAAGTAAATCTGACACAGAGGAATTATCATCACCATTATCACTGATCATGGCTTCTCATGTAACACAACATCTTTAGAAGCCTAAAATATATTACAAAAAATGACAACAATTTCAAATCCTAGTGTGTAAATGAAAGAATTCCAGCAAAGAGTTTTAACCAGGAATACAAAAGGGAATGCATATCAAACAAGTCACTGATATCAGCCACACGCAAAAATGGACTAATTTTTCTAGAAACACATAGAAGATCAAAGCATTTCAATGCTATAAACTCATATCTAAGTGCTAATGGCATATTCGAAAACATAGAACCGCCAAAATACTACTAATTCTACCATATAGAGGTTAGAAACTTTTTATAGATTAAAAAAAAAAAAAGAAAAAAAAAAACTGTCTGAAGCACAATGTAACATTTGCTTAGCAAAAAGACAAGTAAAAGAAAACTTATGCACACACAATAACACCTCAACTAAGCAGATAGACTCGTGACAGTATTTGGAATTTTAATCGATGAATTTGAGTGAACAACATCAACACCAATCCATATAAGAAATCAAACATACCTGAGGTGAGGTAAGGTCGATTGAGGTCGAAGATTGAACTATGAATGTCGGAGATTGAACTATAGATGCCGGAAGTCGAAGCTGGAGATGGAAAGATCGAACACGATGGGGTCGATTGAGGTCTGAGAAGATCAAAGGATTGAACAGGATCGAAGGTCAAACTCTCTACATCTGGAACAAATGTAATTACTGGACACAACATCTCTACACGATAAAGACGCTACAGCTCCGATAGCTTCGGGGCGGCGACGACGAGAGAGAGCGGGGCCGTCTGAAAAAAGTTATTGTGTTGCTAATACGTCGCTAGACCGTCACCAACATCTTACTAATTATGTTTTCTTAGTCCGTCGGAAATCTGTTGTATTCCGTCACTGTTTCCGACAGGTTTTTTCCATTGCTAAAAATATGTCGGTAATACTCAATTTTCTAGTAGTGTCTGTTAATATTGTTGTCATCCACATGCAAGGTCAAAACTTGTGCATTTGCATCTTTCCATTGACCAGTAAGCATGTTCCTATGGGAGAGAAGCACTACTAGAAAACAATTTGTTTTGCTACAAAAAATAGCTACGGAAACAACTCTTTTTGGACATCTTGTTCTTTTAAACATTTCTTTTGTCATGACTTATTAATCTTATATTATATATCTAACCATTCTTGTTCTATTAAATGCAGCATGTCGGGTAATGGACGCAAGGATAAAGGCCACAGTAACAACTCTTTTTCTGGTAGTGGGAGGCATAGGGTGGGGAGGGCATCCCCTAATTCTACCGACGATCCACGTTATAGGATGTCGCTCATACCGATCGACATGCCGATAGTGACAGGAGTTGCAGGCTCCAACAGTCAGTGTGCTATTAGTCAGCAAACCAGCATGGCTGATCCTCTAGCAGACTTGGCTAAGATTCTTCGCCGTCGGGCTCGAGAGACAGGTCATATGCCCCAGCTCCAACAGACGGATTATAGGCCTCAGCTCCCACAAACGGATTATAGGCCTCAATCCCCACAAATGTTTTTGAGGATAGGTGGTAATGATGGGTTTGAGGACTATTGTTTTGAGGATGCAGATGCAGAGGTAACCTTTCGGTCACCACATACCCCACACACACCAATGGCACCGAACACGCCATTGACGTCGCATGGCTCCGCCTCTAGAGGTATTTCAGGAGGTCACGACTCACTCAAATGCGAGTGATTTTCACGCCTCGTCGTTACCCCTGATCAGCCGAGATGGGGAAAAGTTAGTGTTTTCATCATTTAAAACTTAATTTCTTGATGTTATAATTATACTTATATAGTTTTTTCAATACTGTAGGTTTGGGGATCAAAAATCCACAGCGCGTGTATTCGTCTCTTTTGGGAGAATTTGGATCGTCCGTGGGTCCAATTCAGTGATATTCCAAATGAGGCTCTTATACAGATGTTTTCTCGTTTCGGGGTAATATATTAAATACTTGTTATTGTATCTTATACTCATTTGTTTTTAGTTTGTATTTTTAAATTTATTTTTTATTTTTTACAGACCAAGTACAGGTGGCATTCACAAGAGAATGAGAACATATTTGATGCATTCAAGTGTGTCCTCAAGGATAGATACAGAGATAGGATGAAAGGTATCATGAGACAATCTGCCAACATGGCACGAAATGATGGGAAACCCCTCCCCCTAAAGTTTTATAGCTACTATGATGGGATGCATAACTACCGCCCCGAACGCGTACCGGAGACTGTGTGGCAACGTTTGTGTGATGTAACGGATACGATACATTATTATTTTTTGTTAAGTTTTTTATTTCTTATTATATTATTGTACTTATATATTTTTTTTTCTTTTCAAAGCATTCGTCCACAGAGAAGTGGCAAAAGAATTCAAAAATCGCTCAGCAGAACCGCAACACTGCAGATTCTAATGGGTCAACAGCAAGACACACTGCGGGTAGTATAGGATTTGACCAGCACCGTAGGAAATTAGTAAGTATCACAATAATAAATTTTATTATTCATATTTTGTTATAACACTGACTACATTAATTGTACGTTGACTTTTATGTAGGAAAAATTGATGGGTAAACCACCCACACATTATGATGTTTTCATGTAGACGCATGGCACTGTTGAATCGAAGAAAAAATATTTTGAGGGAAATCATGAAAATCTCGAATATTGCTCACAAACGGCTAAAGAAGCACAAGTAACTTATCTTTATCATTTATGTATATTGATTATCTCATTTTTATATATGGCAATCGTGTTGTTTTGGTAATTTGTAGGAGGCATATCTGTAGGGGTTGGTCAAAAAATATGGTGAAGATCCTGCAAACCATAAGGATGATGTAGATGTATGGGACGAAAGCCAGCTTAGAAGAAAAGGAAAAAAAAAAGGTGCTACCTATGGGATAGGAGCATCAGATATATATTTTTTCGTTTAGGGACTCCATCTTCCCAATCTACCTAGTCCACCCAGTCGGATAGCACGCAACAAGAGGTATGTTGAGAATATTGATTAAATTGATAATAAACAAAAGTATGTTGCTATTATGGTTAAGAGTTATGTAGTTTGTTGATAATATTGATTAAATTGATAATAAGCAAAAGTACGTTGCTATTATGGTTAAAAGTTATGTAGTTTGTTGATAATATTGATTAAATTGATAATAAACAAAAGTACGTTGCTATTATGGTTAAAAGTTATGTAGTTTGTTGATAATATAGATTAAACTGATAATAAACAAAAGTACATTGCTATAATGGTTAAAAGTTAGGTAGTTTGTTGATAATATTGATTAAACTGATAATAAACAAAAGTATGTTGCTATAATGGTTAAAAGTTAGGTAGTTCGTTGATAATATTGATTAAATTGATAATAAACAAAAGTATGTTGCTATTATGGTTAA